ATAATATAATAATACTAATATTATTATTTCACCAAAATAATAATAATATTAATAATAGTAACAAATATAATAAATATAATAATAATAATAACACCCCCACCAATGTTACTATTATTTTTATATTACTATATTTCACACCAAAATATCACCAATAGTCCTCCCACATTAGGGACACCCACCAAACATCATCAAATACACCCCCACCAAAGGGCACACCAACATATAATTTTTAAAATAATAATAAAGTGACTAAATAATTAAAATGGGTGTTACACCTCACGTCCGCTGTACTCAACGAGAATCTCTTAGTTAGATTTATGATTGAATGTTAGACCATGTTTATTTGCTTTCTTCAAGTAGTAAAAGGATTAAAAAGAGAAAATAAAGGAAACCTCAAAATGAAAAAAAAAAAGAGTTTTTTATTAGTGTGCTCGCCAAGGATTGGGGCCCTCGTGCCTACGTATTTTCATTATGAAATGAGGAATGAGAGAATTCGTAGTTCGAAGGACTACGATAGGAAAAATAAAAAGGTTGAAAAGAAAAATGTAGCTCACCAGGATCTCGCAATCCTCTGCCTACATATCTTCATAGTGCAATGAGAAAATCAGAGTTTCGTAGTTCAAGGAGACTACGATGGAAAAAAGAAAAAGGTTGGTTTGTGTTTTTTAATGAACAAGTATTTAGATCACGTTTTAAGGGATAAACATTGGCTTGTCTATTCTCGAGGGAGGTTTAATCACTAGTTTGTATGTGTATTATAATGGGGCTAAACAATGTTCTTTTGCAAAAATGTGTTTGATCGCACAGGGGCGAGTAATTATATTTTGGAAGGTTTCAATCACATAGGGGCAAGAAAAGATAGGCTTAACGTGTTGATGTTGATTTTAGGATTTTGAAAAGAATTGTTTTTGACTCGAATTGCACTAAAGACTATGGGTAAATGCGAATATTTTGAACTACCAAGCCAAACGTCTTGTGTCCAAAATAATCAAAGTGAGTGTAGGAAAGCTCCATTCTCACTCCATCTCCGTCAGTTAAGGCTTGTGGTGTGCAACCCTAATCATATTTTAAAAGTGCTTTTGAGTTTATTAAGGAAAATTCAATTGACATTGGATCAAGGGTTTAATTTTCACGATATGATTATGAAAATGGTTCGAGATTGAAATGGGATAGGTTGATGGAAATGCATGAAGCGATCGACTTACAAGTTGTGTATGACTTGATGTATGGATCAAGAATGCTTTGATTTGGTTGATGACGGTGTACAAGGCGATTTACTTATAAGATTTAAGAGATGGGATACACTTTATTGAATGGGATAAAGGTGAAGCAATAAACACAAGCCTAAACAAATAAGCATATACAGGTGTTAAAAGAGGCTCAAGATTGAATCGAGAATTATTTTACTTTTGAAAAGGGATTTAACGTGTTTTGAGAAGAAAGAAACACTTGACGTTGGACAAAGATTTTAGTATTTTTGAAAAGTTAATTTTAATGGTCATATTTTCTTTTTGGATTAACAATTATGCATCAACTAAACATACTAAAAAAACAATAAAAATAAATAAATAAAAAATAAAAAAATTGTAGGGAGAACACTATTAGTACAAGAGTTAAAAAAATTAAAAAATTATAAAAAAAAAAGAATAAAATACAACAATAAGTAAATAAAGCAATAATAAGAAATCAAATAAATAAAAAATATACAAATTAAAGACTAAAACAAGATAAAAATTGGGGGTGTAACTAGGAAAGTGCTTTAGCCTCAAAGGAGAGGGACCCCACAGGGGTATATTGAGAAATTAGGGGGAGTGGGGAGACTTCATCTTCCCCAAACCCATATTTGATTACTATTCTTATAGCAACAAAAATGGATGAAAAATTTTTATAATCACTGCAAGAAAACCTGCATTTTACTAAGTGATTTAGTGACGTGGTAAACACGTGGGAAAAAATAGAGGTTGCGACGTGTAAACCACGTCACTACATTATTTAATTAATAACCCTCTCAAATTTAAAATTTGTAACGTTGAGTGCTGTTTTTTTGGAGAGGAAAATTTGAATTATTCATAAATTAAGTTGTGGTGTGATAACCACATGGGAAACAAAAATTCAAAAATATCTTTATTTTTGCGGCGTGGAAAACAAGTCAGAAGGTACCCACATGGTACCCACGTCACAAATGGGAAAGCATTTATTTTTACAGTTGGGACACATTAAAAGTTAATTTGACTATGACAGCTCTTCCCACATGATTCCCACGTCGCAAATGGGAAGGCATTAATGTGTGTCATTTAATTTTTTACCGTTGGATGTCATTTAATTTTTTAATGTTGAAAATAAAATGTTGGGAAAGTTCCAATGTGCTTATCACGTGGCTACTTTTCCAAGTTGATTTTACGTCGCAACTGAGATGCATTAGTGATTGTTCTAACGTGGTATTCACATGGGTACTTTCCCACGTGTTTACCATGTCACAAATTAGACTATATAATGTCAAATCTCAGAACTCTCCCTTCACGCATTTCTTCTTTTCCTTCCTTCTTCCTTCTTCTTTCTCCATTCTTCATTCCTTGCTTGCGTTATCTGTGCTTCCTCTCCTCCTTCATTGCATTTCACATACATTTTCAATAGGTATGGTATATGTTACATTCTTACTTTTTATTTTTGTTTTACATTTTATTTTAATTTTTTCTTATTATTAATTTTTAATTTTTTTTTCAAAAGATTAAGATTTGGAAGATTCAAGAAGAGCTCATCAAGTCTAAAGATTTAAGCTTTAGTTTTGCTCCATTGAGGTATTTATGTAATTTAAATTATTTATTTTTCAAATTTATAGGTATATGAAATGTTTGGTTGTTGTTGTATAAAATTAGAATTTATTGATTATATATGAAAAACAGAATATATATTATATTTTAAATGTGAATAATATTGATTATATATGAATAATATTGTATATGAAATGTTTGGTTGTTGTTGTTGTATTTAAATATGTTATTTTTATTTAAAATAGAATATATATTATATTTTTAGTATACATAATTGTAAAAAATAGTTTTTAGAAAAAATAGATTTTTAAAAATAATGAATATATATTATATTTTAAATGTGTTATTTTTAGTAAAAGAATTATATATTATATTTTAGAATAATATATTTTAAAATATGTATTAGATTTTAGTAAATAAAATATATATTATATTAGAAAAAACAGAATTTTTAAAAATATTTTTAGTAAACAAAATTGTAAATAGAAAAAATTAAAAAGTATTTTATAAAAAACATAAAGTTATGTAGATTAGAAAAAAAATTGTAAATATTTTTAGAAAAAGTATTTAGTAAATAAAAGTATTTTTATTAAAAAATAATGAATATGTATTATATTTTAAATGTGTTATTTTTAGTAAACAAATTATATATTATATTTTAGTAAACGTAATATATATTATTTTAGAAAAAAACATATTTTGAAAAATAATGAATATATATTATATTTTAAATGTGTTATTTTTAGTAAACAAATTATATATTATATTTTAGAATATGTATTATATTTTAGTTAACAGAATATATATTATATTGGAAAAAACAGAATTTTTAAAAATATTTAAATTTATTTTTATTAGGTTTAAATGTATAATTAGATTTTATATTTTTATATTTGTATTTATATTTTTATATTTTTATAGTAAGAAAATATTTTTAAAATCATGTTAAAAAATTAGGTTGTTGTATAATATGAAGTAATATTTTAATTTATATTAGGTTAAAACAATGTGAAAAGAATTATATTATTTTGCATATATTAAAATCACATATTTAATTAAAATAATATATAATGATAGTGCAAATGTGCAATATGGAATTTTTTTCGTTACTATCGTAGTTGGATGTACGATATGACGTCACCAGGCAGACGTGGACTTACACCATATTTTGAGGAAGGAGTTAAAGGATTTATCACGTGGGTATTTGCACAAGAATGTTGTCGACGTGAAGGAGGAGTAAGATGTCCTTGTCTTAAATGTGAATGTAGATCTATAATTAGTGATCCAGAGGAAGTAGAACGTCATTTGAAGAGGAAGGGTTTCATTAAAAATTATTGGGTTTGGACATATAATGGAGAATAACTGTCGAGTAACGTACATGCAGAGACAACTAATACACACGCATAAAGCAGTTGATCACATATGGAATTTGAGGAACAATTTAATATGATCCATTAAATGGTTGGCAATGCATTTGGAGTAAATGTGACATATGATGAACCTCATGATTTTGATGGGGAAGAGTTGTCGAATGAGGAAGCACAAAGATTTTACCAATTGTTGAAAGAAATGAATACACCGCTGTTTGAGGAGTCGGCAGATTCAAAATAATCAATGTGTGTGAGATTATTGGCCGCAAAGTCAAATTGAAATATTCCTAATTAGTGCTTGGAATACTTTGCAAAAATGATGTTGGATACGACTCCTACGAAAGAAAACTTGCCTACAAGTTATTATGATGCAAAGAGGTTGGTGTCGAAGTTGGGTTTAGAAGTACGACATATTGATTGTAGCATAAATGGATGCATGTTGTTTTATGACAATGAGTTTGATATTAATGATGAGGCGCTGGAGGAATGTAAGTTTTGTAAGAGTCCGAGATATCAAGTTTGTAGTAAAGCCATTAACCGTAAACAAAAACATGTAGCAGTGAAGTTCATGTTTTATTTGCCGATAATACCAAGGTTAAAAAGATCGTTTGCTTCAATGCACAATGCAATTCAAATGACATGGCATCATACAAACCAAACAAGTTCATGCATTATGCGGCATCCATCTGATGGTGAGGCATGGAAACATTTTGATAGGGTACATTCTGATTTTGCTGCAGAACCTAGAAATGTTAGGCTCGGACTATGCTCTGATAGTTTTACTCCATATGTCCAAGCATCCGCAATTGCATATTCCTATTGGTCAGTTATCGTAACCTCTTACAACCTCCCTCAATAGATGTGCATGAAAAAACCATACATGTTTTTGACTTTCCTCATTCTAAGACCATCAAGTCCTAAAGCTGGAATCGATGTTTATTTACAACCTTTAATAGATGAATTGAAAAGGTTGTGGATTGGAGAATGGACTTATGATATATCTTGCAAACAAAAATTTACTTTGCGAGCTGCCTTGATATGGACTATTAATGACTTTCCCGCTTATGGAATGTTATCTGGTTGGGGTACGCATGGAAAAATGGGATGTCTATATTGCATGGAATTTACAAAGGCTTTTACTTTGGAATTTGGAGGAAAAAGTTTGTGGTTCAACTGTCACCGCAGATTCCTACCACGAGACCATGTCTTTAAAAGAAACAAGACTAATTTCAAAAAAGATGTACGAGTAAAAGATTTGCCTCCTCCTCGATTGTCACCAGAGGAAATATGGAATTGAGTTTCTGAACTGCCAAAATTCACAAACTATGGTGAAGCATGCAAAATTCAAGGATATGGGGTCAAACATAATTGGACAAAAAGAAGTATATTTTGGGACCTCCCATATTGGAAAGATAATTTATTGCGACATAATCTTGATGTTATGCATATTGAAAAGAATTTCTTTGATAATATATTTAACACAGTGATGGATGTTCAAGGCAAAACAAAAGATAATGAGAAGGCTAGAAAGGACATGGAAATTTTGTGTGATAGGAAAGACTTGGAGTTGAAGCCTCGACCTAATGGAAAATTATTAAAACCTAAGGCTTGTTACAGTCTAACTTCCTAAGATGCTAAAGTGGTTTGTCGATGATTAAATGAATTGAGAATGCCAGATGGTTATGCTTCAAATTTAGCAAGGTGTGCTGACACCAAAACTAGGAAGTTGCATGGAATGAAAAGTCATGATTGTCATATTTTCATGGAATGATTTCTTCCAATTGCATTCAGTTCACTACCCAACCATGTGTTATATCCGCTATTTTAAATAAGTCAATTTTTCAGAGATATTTTTGCGTCAACGAGTCGATAGCATCATTAAGTTGGACCAAAATATTCTAGTTATTCTATGCAAGTTGGAACGAGTTTTTCCACCTGGTTTTTTCGACTCTATGGAGTATCTACCTGTGCATCTTGCATATGAAGCCTATCTTGGTGGCCCCGTTCAATACAGGTGGATGTATCCTTTTGAAAGATTCATGGGTGATTCAAAGCGATCAGTGAAAAATAAAGCTAAAGTTGAAGGATCAATATATGCACATTAGTTGTATCGGGAAACATCACACTTTTGCAGTCATTATTTCAATCATTTGATGCTAACTCCAAGAATCATAAGGAAGGAATTTGATGTTTACAAAAGAAGTCAGTTTACCTTGTCAATATTCGGTCTTCCCGGTTGCCCCTCTAGAAAGGAGAATATGCATTGGCTGACCCAAAAAGAATTGCAATTTGCACATGTTCATGTTCTAATTAACTGCATTGAAGTTAAGTCATATCTTGAGTAAGTATACCCCTAATGTAACTACCTATCTGGCTTTACAAATTGAATTATTACATTCTAACTAATAGTATTTTTCTTTATAGGGAATTTAAAGTCTCCTATTCTCAAAGCACCGGTGAGCAAGCAACTACCGGTCACATACATGCATCTTTTCCAGCACGGTTCAAGGATCAATTGTCATGCATTGTTGCACCGACTCAAGAAATACTTCATTTGAGAAACTTATCTAGAGGCCTTGTTCAAAGAGCAATTGAATGGCACACATACTATGTGAACGACTATAAATTTCACACCCAGGCTTGGACAGAAGGGAAAACAACCATAAATAGTGGTGTATTTGTTAAAGGAGTTACAGATGGTGGTGAAGATGACTTCTATAGCGTTGTTACGCATATTTACGAGTTGGCATACAATTACTTAGACTTGGAAAATAGAGTTGTCTTGTTTTATTGTGATTGGTATGATCCATCTTCCAGGGGCACAAAAATAGATAAGAAATATAATACTGTTGATATTCGAATGGACAGAAGGTACAAAGAGTATGGCCCTGTCATAATGTCACATATCGTTAAACAAGTTTATTATGTCCCATACCCTTCAATTCAGTCACGTAAATGTGGATGGTGTATTGTAATCAAAACAGAACCATTGGGTCATATTGAAACTGAAGATCTAGTGGAAGATGCTGCTTACCAAGACGATGAAATTTCTCAAATTAATGATGTGGTTGAAGTTGAAGAAATTACAAATTTGTGTGATACATTGGCCGAGGGGCACCAAATTGATGCATCTGTGTTGTTGGTAGATAATAATGTGGATGAAGAGCATGAAGAGTTTGTATCTGAGGACATTATTGGATCATATGATAAAAATAAAATGGATGAAGAGCATGAAGAGTTTGAATAGATAGTTTTTATATGTGTTCGAACAATTTTTATTAATGTATTATTTGTTTTATATGAATGCAAATGATTTTTACGTGTATATATTATGTTGATAATAGTCTTGATTTATTTATTGATAACTCTTCTAAAATAGATAGAATGCCACCCCGAACTGACAAGGGTAAGGCTAAGGAAACCCAGCCCCGTTCGAGAGCTAGAGTACGTGAGGTACCTCCCTCGCCCATGTATGCTTCTCGCCCACAGACTCAGGCAGATCTAATGTCTGTAGAAACTTCACATCCATTTACAAAATTACTCTCCTCCTCCCAAACGGTTCCATCTGGGAATCCATCGTTTATTAGTCCGTTTGGGGGATCCTTCATGCATCTGCTTGGGGGATCTAATTTTCCTCAGGTACTGTCTTCGTTCACACAGCAGCCTGGGGGATCTAGTTTTACTGGGGGATCTAGGTTTCTTCCTCAGCATTATTCCTTCACACAGCAGCTTGGGGGATCTAGTTTTTCTCAGGAGACTCCCTTCGTACAGCCTGGGGGATCTAGTTTTCCTCAACAGTATTCCTTCACGCCGCAGCCTGTAGGATCTAGTTTTCCTCAACAGACTCCCTCCACGCACCAGCCAGGGGGATATGGCTCCCGCATTCCACACCCCACACATATACCTGCGCGCTAGGAGCAGGATGACCACCCTATTCAGGAGGATGACGATATTCATGAGGAGCAGACAAATCCTGTTGCAGGGGAGATTTTGGTGGTTGAAGGACGACATCTGATTAGGCTTGAGGGATCTGGGTATGTTTTTAATTTATAATATTTATTTAACTATATATTACCATTTTATGTTTAATACTCATTCAAATTATTGTTGTTTAGTTTTGATCCGTGTTGGTCTGCTACAAAAGTTGTAAACTGGGTCATCCAATTGATGTATACAAAACTCATTAAGTCTTTCGGAGAGTCCCAGATACTGAGAAAGATATATGGTTTGATAAATTCAAGGTAAATTGTATTTTTATTATAGTTATGTTATTTTATAATTATTTGTTGTTATATAAATATCTAACATTTTATTTGACTCTCATATAACTTGCAGGAAAGGTGTACTTGACAAAATTTTGATGAGGTCAAAATTAAAAAAAAAATTTAGAAGTAAGGTATCTAGCAGATTATCTGAGATGCTTAGGAATGCTAGACAACATTGGGAAAGAGATCAAACTCATCCTAACTGGATATGCGAGGAAATATTTAGGGAACTTATTGAGTGGTGGAAGACAGAAGATTTTCAGAGAAGATCTGAACATGCAAAAAAGATGAGGGCATCTTAAGCAGGTAGTTGTCTTAGTACAGTTGGAAGTATCAGTATTGTCGACGAATGTTAATTATAACTATTTTTTTAAGTTCTATTTTGTATTTAATTAAACTTAATTATTTTAATTAGAAAAAGGATTTGGGGGGAGTCACGAATTAATGAGCTATTTGTGAAGACTCAAACCAAAAAATCGGAGGAGTTTGTTGACGGTCATTCCAAATCAACCTTGGTAACTTGTTTATAGTTGAATTATTTTATTTCATAATTATTGTATATAATTAAATTGTTTAAACTATATTTATTTTAATTTAATTTTTTCAATGTGTGTGTAGGAGTTGTACCAAACCTTGCTTGCCCAATTTATAACTGAAAATCCTCAATATATGTCGATTGGGAATGCACCGCTTGATCCACGCGTGGATCTTTATATTTGAAATTTAACAGTAGGCAGGAAGGGAGTCAATGGGTGTTTTTTTGGTCTTGGGTCTTTGGCTGACGATTATAGAAAAGGGGACCGAACTTTATTTCAAAGACTCGATGATGGGGAAGGAGGATCTCGTCCAGTAGAATTGACACCAGAAGTGTTGGCAACAGTGAGAGAGTTAGCTCTATCAGAGGCGAGATGAGAGGCGGAGGCACGCGAGGCGGCCCTAAAGGCCGAAATGGAGAATATGTGAAATAGGCAAAATGCTGAAATGGAGGAAATGAGGAAGCGGCAATCCGACATGGAGGCACAAATGCGACAATTTTTTGCCTCACAATCAAATTATTTTGTCCAAGATGATGAAGAAGACGAAGATGCTATATTTAGTAGTGATGATGAATAAATTTTTTTTTATGATTATTTATGTTTGTGACGTGAATATTACGTGACAATTTTTTTAATTAGTTTTTTATGTTTGTAACGTGAATATTATGTAACTAAATATTTATATATTTTTTTAATGTATATATTAAAAATATTAAAAAATTTAATTGAAAATTATTTAAATTATTTATTTTATTATTTATTAATTTGTTGTATTCATTAATATTTAATTTTTTTATTATTAAATTATACAGTGAAGTGAAAACAAAGACACTAACTTAAAACAGATTTTCTTTTGTGGCATGGGAACCACGTCACTAATTAGTGACATGGAAATCACGTGGGAACATTAAATACACATCACTAATTAGTGACGTGATTTTCACTTGGAAACATTTTCAATTATTTTGGTGGTTTTTGGCGTGAATCCCATGTCACAAATTAGTGACGTGATTTTCACGTGGGAAAATGTTCCCACCGTTGCTTTTCCGACGTGCTTTACCCACGTCACAAATTTTGTTTAGTGATGTATTTTTTAGCTTAGTGACGTGAATATCATGTGAAAAATTGCAATATTTCATGAAGTGAATAAAAACGAAAAGAAACCATAACTTTTTCAAAATTTTACGAAATTAAGCAAATAAATAATGAAAATGTATCTAATCGATCTCAAGAACACAATGATATATTAAAAATTAGAAAATAAACAACAACAAAAATTTGAAAATTAACAAAAATGTAGCAACATATATTGCTTGATTCGGTCCTTTTATCTACCCTCATGACAACGAATCATGGATTTCATGCTCGGGGTGATGTTGGGAAGCTATTGGATACATTATTTATGTAAAACAAACATCAATTTGCATTTTACCTTTTTTGTTCATGGAGGTTCAAGAACACTTTAAACTCTTGATTTTGAATCAATGGAGTTTCCA